ATATATATATATATATATCCCTAACCTACACACACACACACACACACATATCCCAGCATACAACAGATCACAATATGCACCATTTTATAACTATAATAACTTTCTATTCTCTTCTAGGTATGTCATTCTATGAATTTTCAAGATAGTTCCTAAAAGCTGGGCAATAAACTAACCTGTTGCCTGGGCTGCGGACAGTCATCTCACCACATGAAACACACTCATGGGCCCCTCCACATGTACACACACCCCTACCAGAAGACTGACGTCTGAGAATAAAACACACACCTTGTGGCCATACCACCCTGAGTGAGTCTGTTCTTGTCTGAGAATGCAGCATCGCTCTGGCCCTCCAAATCACATGACTCATGCTTACCTTTGGTTTGCTCTGGAGTGGGCATCTGGGAGTGGTGATACAGCTCCCACACTCCCCCTAGGGGGCAATATGAAAGACTTTAATATCAAGAATATTAGCAATTGCAGGAAATGTTCCTGGCTAATGTCTGGATGAGATCATTAAGAACTTAATCTGGGACTGGGGAGATAGCTTAGCCAGTAAAGTGCTTGGTGCACAAGCAGGAGGACTTGAGTTCCATTCCCAGAAATCTCATAAGAAGTAGGGCATGGTGGTGCACGCCTGTAGGCCCTGCACTGGGGGCTTGCTGGCTGCTCAGCCAGTCCAGCTGGACCAGTGAGCCCTAGGTTCAACTGAGAGACTTTGTCTCAAAAAAAAAAAAAGGTGGATGGCTTCTGAGGAATGGCACCTCAGGTTGACCTCTGGCTTCTACAAGCACCTGCACACACACACACACACACACACACACACACCCCTTAATTATGATTAAGAGATGGCTATGATCAAGATAGTATAAACACACACTTCACTTTGCCCTGGAGAACTCCAAAGGTCTGTCTTGGATGCCCATTTGAAAGCAGTCCCCTGATGTGCAGAGCTGGACCCAGGAAGTATGGTATGGACATACTGTAGCAATGGGGCACATGTGAATGCGTTTTAAGTTAGCTGTGAGACTTTGGACCCACTGATACAGTCTGAACTTTTGTTTTCAGAAGGTATAGCATAGGGACGATACTTCTTGCTGCCATTTGACCTTTGGGGAATTGTCAAGAGAAACTAATTAGATGAGAAAAGGTGTATGGCTACATTTTAGAAATTAGGAAAGTTACACCTGATTAAACATGGGGAAAAAGCCTTTTTTAATCTCCTGTTTAGGATGGAATCCTAAAACTGTGAAATATTTATTAAACTGTTTGAGAGATGTCAGATGCTGACATGGTGCAGCGACAAGCTCTGCTGTGTAGTCGGTTTTCAAGTTTATATGGTAGAGTTGGTAGCCACTATTCTCATTTTTGGGCTGCTGTGGGGTCAGATGAGCACTGAGCAGAGCAGATCAAAGCTAGCATTCATCTGATGGAATTACTGGCTGGACGAGGGAAGGCAAACGTATTTTACAGAGTGGAGGGCCGAAGACAAAAGTTCATTCAGTGTTGCAAAATGAATAGGAAATTGAATGGAGACATATAGGGCATATATTATATATGTATGTATGCATATATATATATACATATATATATACATATATATGCAGAACCATTTTTGTTAATTGCCAAGTACGTCATTTATGTATGATGTAATCTGGTAGAATTCAAAATGATGTTTGTTGAATGAATATGTAGGATAGATTTGAAAATGAATGGCGCAATAGAAGGCTAACATTTGGGATCCAAGCACTGCTTCCTTGGTGATGAAGGAGTCATGGGTAGATGGTGGCTAACCAAGAATATTCAAGGCCTGCAACTGGCTAAGCAGATGCTTGCTGGTTCTGAGTTTGAAGAATGTCATCTATTGGCTCTCAGGTTTCTTGGGGCCTGGCTTCATCATGGCTCTTCCTTGGGGCCTATGCTGGATCACCAGGGCTAGTCTCTGGTACAAGTTTCTTTCAGTGTTTTGTAATTTTAGGACTGACCGTAATACTGAAGGTAGTAAAAGTGTCACATCGGCCACCTAGGGTAGGATCCATTAGCAGGCAGTCAATACCATAGGCCACACCCACGTCAAACAAGAGACCCCGCTGTACGATCCTGCACATTTGTCCATTTAGAAAGAGCTCACCCTGACAGAAAGAAAGAGAAAGAGATAGAGAATCAATCATCTCTTCCAAACTCGTTTTCCTCCTGCAACGTATAATATGGCCAGCACCTATGAGACAGAAAAAGGAATAAAATAAATAAACAAACATGTAGGGGTTACTGCACTTGTCACAGGAGCCTGGAATTCCAGGCAGATCAGATGCTTCCTAGCCACTGTTGAAGGTGGTGACAGAAAAAAGCTTCTGTAATGCAAAACAAAAACAATGCTCCAAACACACCTCAAAACACCTGAATGCCTCCCAGAATGGGAATGGTTGGGAAACAGCCTTCATGTCATGTAACCCTCATCTTTCCTGTCATGTGCTCACACTCCCCTTTCCTGTCATGTGACCACCCTCCCCTTTCCTGTCAGGTGACCACCCTCCCCTTTCATGTCATGTGATCACCCTCCCCTTTCATGTCATGTGGTCACCCTCATCTTTCATGTCATGTGATCACCCTCATCCCATGACACTCACAATGTCGCTGCCAGTTCCACACCTCACACTCAGCTCTGAACCCTGCAGGGTCTTCCAGGAAGCTGACCTGGGCAGGTCTGAAGGTAAAGCCTGAGGGAGAGAGGAGGCCGTGTTATACCTGCACTGGGGCTGACGGGCCAGAGGACCTGTGCCAGCAACCAGATGTAGGACTCTAGGTCCTCCTCCAGCACCATGCTTGCCTAGCTTCTCACCATGATGATAAGGGACTGAACCTTTAAAGCTGTAAGGCAGCCCCAATTCAGTGTTTTCTATTCACGGCAATAAAATCCTAACTAAGACAGGGACACATGGTGAACTGTGGCTTGTGGGACCTCAGTGCCAGATACATCTTTCTGTGGGACATAGCAAAGCTTACCCTGGTGTCTCGGATCACATGAAACTTCAGGTATGCCATCAGCTTGTCCTTGTTGTCTTCATTGAACAGGAAGTCCTGCTGCTCTGGGGGCAAGGCTTGGAGGGCTTTGTCGGAAGGCCAGAAGAGAGTGACTGGGGTGTGCATGGGGTCTGTGATGACTTTCAGCAAGCCCGAGTCCTGAAACACAGGGTACCATCCTTTGGCTGGTCTGTGCGCAGGCTGGGCAGTAAGGTCCCTCCCTGATATGTGAGCCAGTCTCTCCTGTACGGTGGTGTGTCAGGTTCTGAAGGTTCTAGAGTACACACCCAGAAGATAAAGCACTGCACCCAACCATTCTGAACCCCATTTCCTTAGAAGGCAAGCCAGAAAGTCAAACTCTAGGCTTCTGTCAGTAGGAAAGGAAATTTCAATAAATATTTTATTTTTGATACTACTTCTCTTCAAATATTTTAACACCTCATGACTAGTTTTTTATTTTTTTCACATTTCATTAAAAAATACCCTCTACTGTATTGAGATATATATGTTTACTTGTAAAGTTTCTAGATAAAATGTACTCCAAAGAAATGTCAAAACGAATAGAAGTCGTTTTGAGCCTTACATGGTACAGTAACATCACATGTACTGATTTTTATCCCTGTGAGGTAGGCTCCATGTCCTTTACTGGACGACTTCCCAGTTTACTCTAAAACTGTTTGTCCAACCAGACCCTGTTGATCAGGTACATGGTGACTGTGGAGCTTTGGGGATGGCATGGTAGACGAAAATTTCTCATTCATAACATCCTTGGATAGTCTCATTTAAAAGGTGTTTATTACATTTATTTATTGATATTTACTGAAGGCTGTGTGTAGAGGTCAGAGGACAGCTTCTAGGAGCTTGTTCTTTCCTTCTTCCTTGAGAGTCCTCAGGATTCTCAGTTCAAACATGTTGGAATCCTCATTTCTAACCAGCTCCCTAGAGATCCTGAGACTTAGATCTTTATGCAGTTGAAGACCTATTATAGAGTGTGCTTTGTGGGAAGCCAAGGTTCTTAGAGCTTGTTTGAGTCTGATCAGTGTGGGGTGTGCCTCTTGAAGATAGAAACACAAGCAAACCTAACAAAGCTGAGTTTCAGATGGGCTGTCCTCAAGTCCCCGTCCCCTCAGTGTGTTACCTGTATCAACTTGCTGAATCTGGTATATCCATGGTTTGTTGCCACTGTAGTAAGGTTTTGCTGCAAACAAGAAAGGACATCAAGCCTTTCATCCTTTATCCAGATGGATAACCATCTGACGTTGTCTACAAAGCTCACCCTTGAGAACCATGCAGGGAAAGACAGACGCTACATTCTCCATGACTGGAGGATGGTACCTTCCTGAGGTGGCTACTCTCACTGAAGAGACAAAACCAATCTAGCATCATAAGTTAAGTTTGTTATTTTGTGTAGGGCCACATTTATAGCTCTCCTGGAACGCATCTATAGGTTGAATATGCCCCCTTTAGACAGTTTACCATATTACTTTAACACAACCCAACTGCTCACAATGGTGATAACACAGCAGGAGCTATCTATTGGCTCATTCAGCACACATGGTTGCTTTCTTCTGCTCATGGTTTTCCATATTAGAGAGATTAGAAAGCTGGGCACAATATTTCCCATACTCCCTTGTAGCTAGAAACCAATGCAGGACCAACCAAATCCGAGATCTGTTGGTCAGAAGGAGCACCATGAGGAACAGCTAACAGGGACACTAGTCTCAATGTGAACAGTTTCGTTTCTAGAGTCCCTGCCTGGGGGTGGTGGGGGAGGGAGGCTGTGACAGTCAGGTGTCCCTGGGTAAGGTTGGAGGTCCTTCATTTCAGGATTTTCTAGTTGGCTATGTTCTCACCTGTGCCACATTAAAATTAGACTGCGACATCCAAAGGAGTTAGTCATATACCCACTAGCCTAAGAAACTCCCCTTTGTACGTGAGGTTTAGTAGGTTCTGCTTCCTGTGTGAAGGAGAGTGGCCAGTACTAGTAACCAAAACCAGATTATCAGAACAACTAAAACTAATACAAAACTAAAACTGGGCCTAGTAGCTGAGGCCTGTAATCCTAGCTACCTGGTAGTCTGAGGCAGGAGAATGAAAAGTTAGAGGCCTGTCTGGGCTGCAGAGTTAAGGTCAGCCTAAGCAAATTAGCAAGACCCTGTCTCAAGACAAAACTAAAAAGGCTGATTTTATAGTTCTGGGGGAAGGCACTCACCTACCATGTACAAGGCCCTGGGTTTAATCCCCAATATGAAGAGAAGAAATAAATGAGTGAATAAGTAGTTAAAACTTCACTTTCTGTCCAATAAGAAGCAGTTTCACTCCTGGGTTAGTTTTAGTGAGATCTAATTATCCACCTTCCCTTCCCTCTTCCTGCCTACTTCCTTCTCCAAATCTATATAAGACAACTTCCTTTGTGGACATTAAAGGAAAACTTATAAAATTATTTATTTATAAAATTTTTTGTTAGGAGATAGGGTTTTACTATATTGGCAAGGCTGGCATGAAACTCCTGGGCTAAAATGACCCTCAAACTTGAAAGTGCAGAGTAGCTGGGGCTGTGACACACATCACTATCCCCCTCCCCCGCTAGAATCCATGTGATGAGTCAAAGCAACCATTGCCTGGTTATGCATACTAGGCCTGAAGCAACAGGATCACAATGCTTCAAAGTCATGCCTCTAACCAGACGTCAGATGAAGGGCGACACAGACATCACATGCTGGAGAGAGACAATGGGTTACGTACCAGAACCCTGCCTAAGGCATCTTTAGGGGTGATAAGCAAGTTTTGGGGAGACAACAACTTGTCTATGATGTGGATGACTCCGTTGGTACTGATGATGTCACTGGACAGGACCTTCGCCTTATTGTTTATGAACACGGTATCCTGAAGACAAAGGAGACCAGTGAAAGACATGAGCACAGAGAAACTATCCTTCCCTGCAGAACTAACGCTTCCCTGGTGTGCAGGGAAAGCTGGGCGCTCCAAAGGTGGAGCCTGAAAGCCCATGTGACCTAAACACATTATTTATTATGATCCTAAAGGGAAACGGAGACGAGAACACAGTCTTCACCTGTGAGGTTAGCAGCAAATAACATAAAATCAGCCAACCTGGCTGGGTGCTTATTTCAACACAATTCTGAAAGCCCACAGAATAAACAGCTCACAGTTGGCTTCTCATCGGTGTGTCCTTGACATCACCCGTGTCTCCACTCCATCTGTGCTGTCTGTAGCTGCCTTGCCTCTGAGACTGAATTTCAATTCCGAGTCTGCCTTTTGCTGTGTGATTCTGGACAAGTTACTTGACCTCTTTGAGCTCAGCTTCCATATTTGGAAATCTGGGGGATAGTGGTGGTATTCACATCTTGGGGCTGCTGGACATACTGAATCAGTACATGTAAAATCCTTAGCACTGCCCTACACAGAAGAAATTCCTGAGGGGTTAGCTGCTATCACTGCAGCTGTCACTCTGGGGAAGGGAAGCCAGACATCTGGAGGATGAGGACAGCTCCCTCCAGAGGTGGCTGCTCTTACCTGAGAGACAGAGATGGAAATTGGCTCTCCTTGGAGGGTTGTGGCATTTGTGACCTCTTTTAGGTTTTCCAGCAGCAGCTGCTGGCAGGCCACCACGTGATACCGAAGAACCTGGGACATGAGGCCCTGCTGATCCCAGTCTTTAATCTGGAAGAGAGACCATGGGGGTTGGCCAGAGACAGGAGCCTGTTGCTGGAACCCCTTTTTTTGCTCTCTTCTTTCCCACACACTGAGGAGCTAGTGCCAGGCTTGGTTTGTGTTGGGGCCACAGGGAAAGTCTGGTCAGGAAAGGTAATGAGAACTGTGGGTGGGAAGAGTCTCAAGGGGCCCCTAACCCAGCTTGTCACAGCATGGCTGGAAGGATACCAGTGTCCTATAACCCCTGTGTGAAAAATTAAAACAGCGGTTTGATCAGACTATAGACAAGCCATGGTATAGACAAGCCGTGGTTCTTTGCATTCGCCTGTTTTCCCCCATTCTCTTTCAGATGGTCCCCGGGACCCTGTTCACTGCCTTGCTGGACAGGACAAATAATGTTTGAAATAATTTGACCTTTGGTTATTTTAATTTAAAGCCTCAAAGGAGTTAAACTGTTTCCTGGTCTTTTTATTACAATGACTTCATAATTGTATTCTTCTTATCTTGAATCCAAGTAGAAATGTATCACAGTATCTTCCAGTGCTCTCTAGGAAGGGCCCTCCCATGGTTATATACACATAGAGGCAGGATGTGGGGAAGGGGATGATGCAGGAGCGTAAGTGTTCTCAGGGGGAATACAGATATCTTCTAGATCAGGGTATTGGCTGAGTGAAGAAGCAGGGAACAGGTCACTATGACCCTATGATTGATTCACTTGTTCTTTTTTTAAATTTTTTAATTTATTTTAATTTATTTTTGTTTTATTTATTTATTTTTTATTTATTTATTTAATTAATTTATTTATTTTTAATTCACTTGTTCTTATCTAAGCTGGTAATTTTCCACTAAGGCTACTTGTCTACAAGGTCTATAGCTATCTGTTCTAGGGTGACTTCTAAGGCCACTCCTTTCCCTAAGCCTCTCTGCAGTCCCCGCCTCCTGCTCACCCTGGGCTCTTGATCGAAGGAGTTAGATGAAGGTGCAAACACAGTGAAGGGGCCAGGTCCAGCAAGTTCTTGGACAGCATGCTCCTGCAGGAAGGGATGTGGGGTCATATGTCACTCATAGAAAAGCACGGCGGCTTCCTCTCTCACAGACACAGGCCCAGGCTCAAAGATAAGCCTGAGTTAGTGTTTTTTTCTCGGACTCAAAGTAACCCAGATTCTATGGCATCAAAATTATGTATTTCTTCTAATTATAAAATTAATGTATGGCTATTAGATTAATGATTTTTGGAATCAGACTACTAAGATGATAAGAGCTCTTCCATAACCCCCATCAAAGATGACTTGGGCCTCTCTTCCCCATGTAACTGGTTATATCCTGTGATAGTCACATGACTATGATAACCAATCAAAGATGACTCCTGCCTCTCCTTTCTACATGACTGGCCATACCCTGTGATAATCATATGACCATAACAACCAAGATGGCTCACTTAGCTATCTAGCTGTCTTCTTGTCATCCTACGGTTGTGGGGCAGCTATGGTATTTGCTCCTAGCCTCTCATGTTTCATTGTTCATTGCATCTGGGATTTATGTGGAGGATTCCCAGAAGGTCAGCATGCTTTCTCCTAGCTAGCCATCTCACTGTGAGACTTAATCTTGACTGTCAACTTAGTTGGGTTAAGAAGCACCCAGGAGATTGAGAAGTACACATCTGAGTGTGCCTGAGAGGCCTTTCTCAGAGAGGAGTCACTTCCTCCAGGGATGCATGACATGCTGGGGTTGAGAGACAGGAGGTGAGGATGGGCTGAACAAGAGAGCTTCCCTGGGAGGTGTCCTGCTTCTTCCGGTATGCCTAGCCTGTGCTCTCTGCTTCCTGTCCACCATGCCTAGCCTGTGCTCTCTGCTTCCTGTCTACCAGGTGGCATATAAAAGGACTGCTCGCCACCCCAATTCTCTCTCTGTTTCCACATGTTCCGAACCCATCTCCCCCTCCCCATTTCTGTCCTTCTCTGTCCCCACTTTCTCTGCCCTCCTGACTCTGCTTCCATCTGTCTGCCTCTACCCCTTCTCCATGTCCTCACTCCCTCCCTTTTCCCAAAGAAACCCCCTTTAACCAGGTCTGTTGCATGGGGTGATTTCTCAGGGGACACCGTGGCATGGGCCTGCCAGGTAACCCCTCCTCATATTATATTTCACAACACCTAGTCCTCAGTGACTCACACAGATCAAGCCCTCTCATGGTAAGAGCCCTATTATGACATGCTCCTTAATCTTTTCTATTGTATTTTCACTGTACCCTTTCAATGTTTGGATGTGATTAGAGTCACAAACACTAACTGCTGCTTAATGTTTGTAACACCTGAGGCCTGAGAGACAGAGTTCACAAATGGCCAACAACTTGGCTGGCGCAGTAAACCCTAGTTGCAAACTTTCTTCTGTCCTCCCTGACTTCGGAAGCTACTGCTTTATCTAATATCTTGCTGGCAACATGACATGTTGACATATATATGTGTACACACATAGGTATGTATACACACAGATAGTTCAATACATACAAATACACATAAACACACACACACACACACACACACACACACACACACACATTCTGGTGGTGGGAATTGAATCCATGGCCTGGCACATGCCTCAGAAGTAGACACACATTTTCTTACCTGTAACTGGAAGAAATACTGGGACGTTGAGGGGTTCTTAGGAAGTTCCTGCAAACAAGGACCAGAAAATGTCAACATTTCAGTTATGGATTACACACAGGAGTACAGAATTGTGCTGAGACAACGTGTTTGCAGGAAAGCCAGGTGATGGCTCTCCTCTTGCCTCACTCACGGGCTTGTGGTTGATTCTCAGATCAACTACTTCCCCATATACTACACACACACACACACACACACACACACACACCCCATACATTCCATATACTGAGAGACACACTGAGTCCACAGAACGTTACAAGCATTTTGAATGGAGCTCAAATCTTTACAAAACACACCAAATACAGTTGAAATCTTGAAAAGGTCAGGTATTGATTATGGCAGAATTGGCCTCCCTAACAACAAGAATGCTTTGTCTCTCTTTAAGACAATTCTCTGAGTGTTTATAGTATATAGAAATCAAAAAGTATCATGCCACCTCTTCTTCTATCTGCAGTGTAGGCAGATGGGAGGAGGGAGCACAAGTGCACACATGTGTACACATACCACACATCCACACCCACACAACACACCTCCTCGTACACTACACACACACACACACACACACACACACACAAACACCTCATACATTACACACCCCTCATACCCCACACCTCCCTGTACACTCCATATACACATAGACATACACTACACTCCATACACTACACGCAGACCCACACCCCATACACCACACCTCCCCATATACTACACACACACACACACACACACACACACACACTCCATATACAAACATATATTACATCTACACCACACACATTCCATGTACCACACACCCTCACCCTCTCCACTCTCACCCCACATACATCCTAGACAACACACACACGCCTCAAATACCCCCATAATTCCAGACACCACCTACATACACCATACACCATACACCAAACATACATATACACATACATTATCTACCACATACCCCATAGACAACAATATACTATATATACACACATATACACATACACAGAGAAGCATACATACACCACAGATACACCCTTCTACACCCCATACATCACAAATATACACACACATACACACACACACACACCATCTGCCACATACCTCATACACAACATACACATCATATACCACACACACACACACACACACACACAGACACATATACCCATCATATACTACACATACCATGTACCACAGGTATACCTTACACAACACGCACACATATATGCATACCATACCATACCTACACACCATATACTATACACACCATGCACCACATACACCACACCATATTCCATACATAGACACATACTCCACATACTACATATTATACACATATTATACACATATTATACACATACATACACCATACACTACCCATACCATATGCCACAAATATGCTATACACTATACACACAGACATATGCACTGTGTATCATACACACACACCCAATATGCCACACATACACACATACATATTCCATATTCCATACACACATATATATACACACACATGCCATACACACCACTCATAGCATCCACTGCATACCACATGCATAGACCACACATACATTACACCCTACAAACACACCATCCACACACCATGTCACACATCCATCATATTCATATACCACACATAGTATGTCATATATAGTCTATATACACACCACACCACACACCATCTACCATGCTCACTTTACATCACATACATGACCCACAGTCACCTCATTCTGTACACCACACATACCACACATACATACCACACAGGCCTCTTCACACAACCAACCCAAAGCATGGCAATGCTTCGGCATTCCTGCATGTTCTGTGCTCCTGACATCTGTCACCATATTTCATTTTGTAGTAACTTGATAGAGTTGGTGTCTTTGTCGTTTCCTTTTCCAGAGTCAGAGTGATGCATAGGAAAGTGACATCACAGACAAAGGGACACTTCAGCAAGTCAGGCCCTTGCCAAGGAAACCTGGAGATCTGGGTTCGATCCCTGGAACCCTCGTAAAGGGGAGAATTGACTCCATAAAACTGTCCTCTGTCTTCCAAACACGTTTACCAACATTCAGCACCCCCTCCAATAATAAATAAAAAATACGTTATAAAAATACCTAGGTGGAAAAGTGACATCACTCTGCGTCACAGTGCTACTCCTGGGCAGAGTTCAATTCCAAACCCAGATGTTTCTGCCGCCAGAGCTATACCAGTCTCAACTGTGACACCCTCCCCAGGCCGTAGGGATTTCCCTGGGCAGTCAAAGTTCCTCTCATTGCAACTGATTTCAAGTCCCCAGGGAACTGGGACTCTCAGCTATTTGGGAAGTGGAGTTGACTTCATTACCCCATAGATGCTGCCACGGCAGATGATTCCATCCCCTGTGTAGTTTGGCTTGCAGGTACATATCCTCTGATCTTCTTCCGTGTAATTGCAGATGGCAAAGGGACTGCAGCCGCCATTATTCTGGTAAAATTGCCAAGAGTTGGAGGAGGGGTTCAATCAGAGCAGTAAGTTTGCCAATTTTTGCTAAGCAATTTTGTGTTGAAATTTATTGAATATTACAGTATAATACTTATCTGTCATGTGCAAAGGCTGGGCTAAATCCTGAGCAACATGCACACACATGCATGCACAGGCATGCGGACCCACATACACAGACATAAATACACATACATTTTGTCTTACTCTCCAACTTTGACCAGCCTTCATTGCCTTTCCTGGACTTGCCTTATAGCCCCTTGGTTGTGGGCCATTATTTATGTAGCCTTGTATCATGAGACAGCAGGCTTGTACAACCAGATCCTTAGCCATCTGTGGATAAGCACCCTGCATGCTTGACTGTTCCCATGATTTAGTCATAGGAAAGATGCCTTGTGCTCAAGAGCTGATGAGCTGTGGAAGAGGATGCTAAAACACAAACCAAGTGAGCCTCCATGGTGGCATCTCCACAGCCTCTGTTCCTGAGAAGACTCCAGTGAGGAAGGAACACAGAGCCAGGAAAAGCAGATCCAGCGAGGAGCAAAGAAGCCTTTAGACAGGCTTAATGCCTGCTGCGAAATCTTCCTGTCCCCCAGGCTCTTTTCCAAAATAAGTACTGAGCAAAATGGTTGTCAGCATCCCAGAATCCTACCCTAAGAGGATAAACTTCTATTTGCTGCTAAAAAGGCAAGCTCCGAAGCATCCAGACAATGACCCTGAACTTTGATAGCTGCAATACCCAGTATATGTCAAGACCACACAGAAGAGTCTGGTCTTGTCACAGCCCTCTTGATCTTTGTCCCCTCCAGAGGTCTAGGAGCCCCAGGTTATCCCCTCACCATGAGGGCACTGGCTCTGTGTAGTTCTGGATACCTGTTCTCTAATCACATACCCACTCCTTCCTGTCCTCACAAAGCAATCTCTACTCTTGAAACTGCTATCATCCCTAGTGTGGTGTGCCTCTCAAAGCCTTCCTCCCCTCTTGTGGAGGTTCATTCTCTCTCTCTCTTTCTCAACCCACCTTCCTCTCTCTTGCCTTCCCTCATTTTTGCTCACTCAGCCCTGTTAGGACACACCAAGAAGGCCCGTACCATAAGCTCGTATCTTGACCTTGGGCTTCCAGAGTGTGAGAATTAAGTTTCTGTTCAATTACCCAGATTCTGCTGCAGCATCACTATAGGTCAGAGACTGTTTTAGAACTACCTCACAGATGGCCCCATTGCCTGGTTCTTGGAGGTAGGACTTGGGGAGAAACACATGATACTTGGGCAGCTCCGCAACTATGTTGTTTGCTTATCCCGATGTTTAAAGACTTTTTGCCTTCTCCTTTGAGTGACTACCATCATTAAAAACTGGAAAATTTCACATTAAGATTTCTGTTGTTCTTACGCAGCCAACACTGACTGGCATTGTTCAGAGCAACAGTGATCTGAGGTTCCGGAAATGGTACTCATTAGAGAGGCACCAAGTCTCCCAGCTTCCTGCTGCGGCCCCTGCCCTGCCCCTAACTTCCTGTTTTGGTCCCTGACCCGCCCCTAATGACTTTGGAATTGAGAGCTAATTCCTGAGCAAACGCTTCCAAGAGGGTGGCAAATAGCATCTGGGCCTCCCTGGCAGCCCTGTCCTGAGTGTTTGGCCAAAATGACACAGAAGAACCACTATCAAATAGAGCTGGCTGGAGTTCTCATTACAACAGTCCCACGTTCCAGCTGCCTCTGTGTCCTAGCTTCTCTATTGTCCTCATGGTCTGTCTCTTCAGGACATTGTTGTCCTGAGCTGGTCAGACAACAAGGAGCAAACGGAGCTGGTTGGAGAGGGAGGGTTTAACTGCACTGGTCCATTTGGTTCTCACAGCATCCAGTGGAAGTGCACACATAAAACAGGGCATCAAGGTGCTTGGTCCACAGTGAGGGCCCAGGATTAGACACACACAGGTTCCGGGTCACTGGTTTTGTCATGTACTAGCTCTGTGATCTCAGATAAGGATCTTTTTTTCCTGCCAGCCAGAGGCAGGAAAGATTGTATCCACTCCAAACATGGGTGGGTTCTTACGCCCTAGGTCACCTGTCTGTGACTATGACTTCCTTTAGAAAAGCATCTTCAGAGATGTCATTAAGGGTCTTGAGATGAGGCTCCTTAGACTCACAAGTGTCTGTGTAAGGACAGAAGATAGACATAGAGGTGGAGAGAGAGAAAGAGAGAGAGACACACACACATACAGAGACAGAGACAGAGAGAGACAGAGACACAGACAGAGACTGCAGTTTGCAGCTATAACCAGGAATACTGGAGTTACCAACAGCTGCAAGAGGCAAGGAGGGTTCTGCCCCAGAGCCATCAGACACATCGTTGCTGACATTGGTTTTAGATTTTAGTCTTGGAGAATCATATATAAATTTCTGCACCCAGCTTTTTTAGTTTTTTTAACAGCAGCTCTACCACTCCCACCACTGTGACTTCTCTGCAGTGGTGGACTGAGACCTGGAACTATGACCCAGATAAACCCCCTCTGCCCTAGTTTGCTGTGTTAGGGTATTTTATCATGCAGCAGGAAATAAAACTAAGACGACTTGGAAAATAATTCACTGCTTGTATCTTTCCATCAGCAAATTGCGGGTAATTAGCACTTGTCCCATCGGGAAGCAGAAGAGTTGAATGAGAGACAGCAGCAGTGCATATAAACGACATGTTGGTGCAGGTGTGCCAGAGGCCTGGATGACCGAAGTGCCCCGAGGTGATGTCAGGGCTTACAGAACCTCTTACTCCACTGGAGGCACCGGCCTGGGGTAGGCTGGACAGCAGGAGATAGTTTACCCAGTTTCAGACTTAGTGACATTCTGCTTGGTTGGTACAGCATGGAGTCAGTCTGCAGTCAAAAGTCATGGGAGAATCAGTAGATATATTTTGGGGAGGGATACAGGCTACCTGGAACAGGATTGCCATGAGGTTATGCTTGTACAGAGGCCATGAAGGTCATGCTCCTGGGTCCTGAAATCTCTCTAGATGTCTACTGATACAGGATAACATATCTGAGATAAGTAGGACTTTTGAAAGAAATTGTGTGTTCTCTTGATCACATTCGCCTTAGCATCACAGAAGATAGCTTATGCAGGGGAGATACACCAAGTCTGGGGTAGTAGAAGCTATGTTCAGTTGTGTGCATGCATGCATATATGATGTGTGTGAAAGACAGGGAAGAATGGACAGTTGTCTTCCATGTGAATGTTGCAGGGTTTGGTTTGCTTGTTTGTTTAACTAACTGATTTCAAGAGCTGTTTTAGGTTTACAGAAAACAGAATAGAAAGTACACACTTTCCTGTAGAGACACCACCCATTCCCGGCTTCCCCCATCATTAAGGCCTTGCACTTGCTGGGACTGATGTCCTGGTATTAAAGTCCACAGCTTGCATGCTGTCCCACTCCTGCTGATGTGCATTCCGTGGGTGCTGGTGAGCGTGTAATGATGTGTCCATCATCTTAGCTTCCTCTCAGTAGGTTCCTGTCCCTAAGGACCCCCATGCTCCCCTTATTCACCCCACCCCTCTCACTCCTGGCCAGGAGTGACCTCCTGACTGCTATGTGACCCAATCAGGAGTGACTGATTGATCTTGCTGTCTCTGCAGCATTTCCTTTTCCACAGTATAATTTCCTGTGCTTGTCTGTGTTTGAATTGACTTTCATCCCTATTAGGTTCATAAAGAATAAACAAAAAACAAACTTAGGCAGCATACCCAGTCACTGTGGCTAAGGAGCCAGATTTTGAACAGGATCCTAAGGCTTGTTAGTTGATGCATGAATGCTTTATAGCCGCCCCCCCCCAATACTTTAGGAAACTAGTCCAGCTGGGTTGGGGGGTTTGCATCAGATGAATGCTACACCAACTCTGTGTACTCACACCCCTTTAGAATCTTGCAGCCAAAGGGGCAGGCTGTGGGGTAGCAGACTGTTCTCTCTATCCTTCCCAATATGACCATGGCACACAAGAGGAAAATTGAGCTTCATTCCCAGACTAAACTCTGACATTGCAAAGGGAGAGCCCCTGGCCTTTGTATTCCCTAGATGAGATGGTGGGAGAAGGCTCCGAGGCTGCGGGCCTGGAAGCATACTCACAGTTAAGCAGATGTTGATGAGCGTGCAGACCTTTCCATCTCCAGTGTACTTCGGCAGACAGTTACAGACGGCCTGTGCAGGAGCAGAGGCAAAGGGTCATATACCAGGCCAGGTTGGCCTGCCCAGCGCATGGGATCTCAGACCGGAAGTTGATTGCAGTAGGGTACATGAGAGGAACTGTGTTTTTGTTGTTGATTTTTTTTTTTTTTTGGTAATACCTAGCTTAATATACTTGAGTACTAGATCTCATGGACATCTCATCCTTGTTGCCAGGATAACTTTTTTTTTTTTTTGATGGGTGGAGGTTCAGGGGAAAGGAAGTTACTGACTTATCTCCATCAAGAATGAAGTCAGACACCAGTGCTAGTATATGCTGAGGGGAAGACTGCATGTCACAGGGAAAACAAGTAGCCATACCCTTTTGATGTGTGGGAAGCAGCTCCACCTGTGCCATTACAAGATGGCGCTTGGCAAAAGGCCAGCCAGGATGACTAGGCACAGCTTGAGAGGAAAAACAACTTCATATATGGAAAGCTTGCACTAAGAGGTGTGGTTGCCCGATCATCCCGCCTCCTGTCATACGCAGTGACCAATTACCAGTGTTCTTGTGGCAGTTACTGATAGGAGCGAGGCAAAGCTTTAAGGGGCTGCAGGTGGTGGTGTGGGTGGCTGCTGGCAGCACGAAAGAAGCTTACAATACAAGGGTTGCTGAATAAACTGCTCTAAGAAGAACACTATTGTCGTTGCCTTATTCTGCTGGTTGGATGCTGGGGAGCGGCATTGATGGGCAAGGAAGACAGCTGGGAGCTTGAGAAAGTTAGGTACAGAACACCACAGGCCTGATGACTACTTGTTAGAAATCCAAAGGTGGGGCTAGCCTGGGCAACCTGGGCAACCTGGGCAACCTGGGCAACCTGGGCAACCTGGACAACCTAGGCAACCTGGGCAACCTGGGCAGGTATTCACTATTTCTCTTCCTCTTCTTTTACCATTTGTCCCAACTGTTCACACCTTTTACCAAGAGGCCCGTCAGCTATCTCTTCTCAGCTGAAACTGTATACTTAGAGCTGTTCCCCATCTGCAGGAATACTGCTATAGGCCCTGGGGGCCAGGAATCCTACAGGTGGTTCCTCATTCCATGTATACAAGAACTCTACTGAGACACTAAAATATGGAAGTAAAACTCCAACAGAGACCGGTGAAATTTCCTGATGGGTAAACGTGCACTTGCACGTGTGAGAGTACATATACAAGGTACTCACATATGCACACATGTGCACACACATCGAATTCACGTACACATGCACACACAACTGTACATACACATATGTGCACACACATGCAGCTTGTGCACACATGCACATGTATACACACAAACACACATACACACATGAACACAATGCTCACACACATGTACACACACATGCACATACATGTACACGCACACACGAGTGCACAAGCTTGTACACAGACACACACATTTTAAAATTTTTAATTAGGGTGCTCCAGGCACTCGCTTGATCTGCCCATTGAGAGATGTGGTCTTGCAGTCTCCTAGTGGCTCAGAGAACTCCGGGGGACATGCCTTGGATATCTGACTTACTACCAGGTATCATGATGTACGAACTGCCCTGCCTGTCAGTTGTCTGAGACTGCCTTGTGTCTGAGACTGAGGAGGCAGACTGTGGGGCTTTGCTCCTCACTGCCCTGCCTGGCCACTTTGTGTATTCACCTTGTGTCTGAGACTGAGGAGGCAGACTGTGGGGCTTTGCTCCTCTGTTGGTCCCTGTATGTCTCTGCTCCATGACCACCACCCCATGATGGAGTTCTCTTATTTTTTCTACTTCCTAAAATCCGCTTGCTCTCTGTGTTGGGGGCCATATTAATGGCAGAAGTCTGAACTGTGAGCTTCTGGCACAGTATAGTGCCCTCTAGAGCCAGGAGCCAAGAAAAGTGGGAGGATTTGGGGAGTCAGAAAGCTGAAAGAATGGGAAATGTTTTTAAGAAACTTCTAGGTGCTTCTAAGACCACATGGGGTTACAGATGTGCATACCCCATCTTTAGAAAGCTGTTTTCCTAGTTCCTTCCCCACCATTTATCTTCTTTCTTCTCAGATTTACTCTTGTGCTTTCAGTATCTGTCCTACAGTATTTCTGGCTGCAGCTGGACTAACATGTGGTCTGCCTTTGTTCCCTTAGGCCTGGGTCTTAAGACACAGGCGTTTTCTCCCAGGAAACTGGCCAGAGGCAGCTCACCTGGTTGGGGCCTGTCTGAGTGCACTCTGCATGCCGGTCACAGCCGCCGTGGTTCTCCAAACACGGGTTGATTTCTTTAAAACAAAAGTCACCATGAATCATGAGTAGAAAGCCTTATTTCCGTGAAATGGCATTCTGAGGGAGTCCCCCTTGGATAACTGACCAAGAGCAGCAGGAGTCACATGAGACTGTTCTGGATGTTCAGAGGCAGAAGTAACTCAGTGGGGAAGAATGGTCACTCAAGACTGCCTCATCCCCTGCACTGGCTAATTCTAGCAGGGGCAGCATCTTAAATCAGACCTCCAGTTCACTCATGCTATGAATGAGTTGGCTTGAGAATGAAGACGCAATCATAAAGACACAATCATTTGTGAGGTCACACCAACACCACAGACTGATTTGGAGAGGACTCATCAACTGACACCCAGTTTAGGACATCGGAGGAATGGACTGCTCAGTGTCAAAGTATCTCTCCACTGATTGCTAATGGTAGCAGAGGGGCCATGAGTACACAGTGGGTAGCTCAGGCAGCACTTCGACCTAGTGGTCAAAATGCAAATTATAAACAAGGGCTACCTTGACACGTGTGGCATTCAGCAACGCATGTGACATCATTTTTGTGACATTTTGGTCTGGAATGTGGAAGTGGAATCTAATACTCAACCACCAAATAAAAGACACAGAACAGACAAAGAAACAGACCAAAGAGCTAAGACATTAAATGCAACATCCAGTCCTCCAGAGACCTTGTACTAGAGAAATATTGGGACACCTGATGGACTTGCACTGGGAATAGAATTAGAAAGAGAATTATAGAGATTATCACCTTACTGAAGTCAGGAACCCTGTGTGGTTCCATAACAAGCTGCCCTTACTCTTAGGAAATTCATACTCAGTTATTAGGGACAAATACATGATTTGCACTGCTTAGTCTCAAATGACTAAGGAAAATCTGAAAACGTACAGAGAGGGCAAATTCTTATTAGCACGATTGCAAGCCACTTTGGTGAATTAAAATTCAGCCTGCTTCCTAGGGCACACCTCTAGAGCATGCTGCTTCCTAGGGCACACCTCTAGAACATGCTGCTTCCTAGGGCACACCTCTAGAGCATGCTGCTTCCTAGGG